AGAGAAAGCAGATATAGATTTAAGAAAATATCTACAACAAACTCAAAATCAACTTACATGGAAAGAAAGAATAAAAGTTGCTTATGATATAATTGTTGCACTAAGTGTTATTCATAGGGAGAATGCAATTCATAGAGATTTGCATTCTGGAAATATATTGTATTCGGAACTATATCAACAATGGTTTATTAGTGATCTTGGATTTTGTGGACCTGCTGATAAATCATCAGAAAGTATATATGGTAATCTTCCTTACATAGCACCAGAAGTTATTTCTGGAAAGAAAACTACAATAAAATCTGATATTTATAGTATTGGAATGTTAATGTGGGAAATTTCATCTGGACAACCCCCTTTTAGTTATTATGAAAATTATTATAATCTTGCATTGAATATAATTAATGGAATGAGACCAAAAGTAATATCAGGAACTCCTTTAAAATATGAAAATTTAATGAAACAATGTTGGGATGCTGATCCATTAAAAAGACCTGAAATTGGTACACTTTTTGATGGAATTTATGAAATTCTACAATTTTATCAAAATATATCAAATGAAATACTTCAACAAGAAACAAATAAGAATTTAGAAAGAAACAAACTAATAAACAACTCAATGTCAAAACATGTAAGTAGCAAATTATTTACAAGTAACATTCATCAATTTAAAAATTTACCGGAACCAAGAAATGCAACAGAAGGTATATTTTAGTATTTATTATATTTATTAACAATTAATAGTTGTTTTTAAAAATATTAATATTGTTTTTAATTTAAATAATAATAGAAGAACAAGAAGGTAAAAATAATGGATATGTATTAGAAATATGTGAAATATTTGATTATTTTTTCTAACTTTAAAAAAAAAATATTTTATAGCATTTCATAGTAAATCATATGATTGCTTTAATATTCCTGATAATAGTAAGTAATTAAATATATTGATATATACAATGCAAATTATTAATTATTTTTTATTATTACTAGTTGAAGATTTTAACAATTCAAGTAATCAAAATTATGCTGGTGCTTCCAATTTAAAAGGTAATTAATTTTTAATAATATGAATACATAGTAGCCATTTGATTTTAATTTGTAATAATTATAATTATTGATGTCCTTAAATAATTTTAGATGATAGTGAAGAATTATCTAAATCATTTAATGAATTACAAATAAATTCAAATGAAGGTAAATAATCATTCTATTTTGATTATAAATTTATATCTTGAAATTTAATATATTTTACATTTATTTAGACAATCAAATTAATTATGGAAAAGAAATTGTTGAACAACAACAAATAAAGCAATATAATCTCAACATTGATGGTACGTAAAATTGCAACAATAACTAATTATATAATATTCATTTTATATATCTTTTTTTTTATAGATGATGATGAAACTTATGATGATAAAAATTTTCATTCAGAAGAAGAAGATGTGTTCGAAATTCCGGATGGCAAGTATTTCATATTACCATTATATTCTTTATATTTTTGCAAGAAAAATAACTATATTTATTTTGTTTTTTATTTATTAATTGATTAATTAATTTAGATGGATTTTAAATTATTTAATTTCCGACGGATTATATTTTTTTTTATTTAGAATTATTTAAACACTAAGTATAGAGTAGGTAAATTTTTTACAAGGTTCTTAGTTTGTAATTTAAATAATTCACTATTTTATTATTATTGTTATATAACTTCGTTATTCATTAAATAAATAGTTTAACTTTTTCGATAACATAAAATTTTTAATTTACTGCAAATAAAATTATTTTGTATATGGGAGTGGGAAGTTTAATACTAATTTAATGAGTTTATAATAAATAGGTCGTAACGATAGGGCCAGTTAATGAATAAAATTTTTATATTTGAACAAAGTGGATATGATTTGTTCGTTAAATTGTGTTTCAATAATATAAAGTAAAATGGAAGTACAAAAATATTTCAGCTTTCTATCAATTTATCACGTGAATTTTTAGCTTAATGATCGATCAAATTAATGACCATCATAATGCCGGCTGAAATTACATTCAATCACGTGATATTGTCGTTAACGATCATGGATATTGATATAAATGCAGTATTTGATTAATATATAATTTAATGATTATTACAAAATATTATTATTAACAAATTAAATGTGTGGAATGTATGGATAATTTAATAACAATGTTAAAATTTGAGTTACAATTTATTTCATCATTGATTGCAACGTAATATTTATTTTATTCCCATTTATTAATATTTGGATAAGTAACATTAGTTATTATTGTTCATTTATTAGGAATATGCGGGATTTTGCTGACCGATATTTTTATGAGACATTCAATATCAGTATTAGTAGCATTAATTCCTATTGGTCACCGCAGTATTCCCAATAAATAACTCAGTTATTGGGATGTCGGCCTTCGACCGATATCTCTATTCCCCCGTCCAATAACTATTTATTATGGATTTTTATATTCGTCCATTAAATGTGTACACAATTATTACCATATAAATTACAAGGCTAAAACATTAAACTCTAGACTCTTCTATTTAGATGAGAATGGTTACTAACTAATTATTCAGATACGCCATAATACTCAGAAATTCATATTTGAGCTTGCGTATAAATAATTTCTTTTGTGATAATTCCTACCGAGATTTTAGATACTGACGATATTGGCTGACATTTGGCCGCGGCCAAGAATTTTTTTGGCCAGTTTTGCCGGCCAAAATGGCCAAACGGCCAATGGCTAAAGCCAAATTTTGGCCAAATAACTTTTTTTGGTCAGTTTGGCCGGCCAAACTGGCAAGCCGGTACATTTGATATAGGTTGTATAGGTTTTCATAATTTAAATATATTACTTATACATAAAGGTTACTCAAAAAAAATTACTCATGCAAATAATTATTCATTATGACTTACAGTATATGACGTAACACACAATCCTAATGTTCATTTATATAACATAAATGATATAAAATAGGCCTTCTCTTCTCTTTTCTTTAAAAATGATAAACATGGTTGAATAATTCTTCGATAAGTAACTCATCAGATAAAACTAATATCTTCACCTAATTAGGTCTTTTTATTAGGTCTTCTCTTCGATTAGAAAGTATGTAGGTTGGAAGTGTGGGGACTGTGGGTTGTGTATGGGTGGCGTTTTCTCTCTTTCCCTCGCTCTTTCCACTTTCCCTTCCTTTCCCTTTCACTTATTCCCTCGCTCTTTCCCTTCCCTTCTTTTCCTTTTCCCTTATTCCCTCGCTCTTTCCCCTTTCCCTCCCTTTCTTCCCCTTCCCCTTCCCCTTTCTCATTCTTCCTCTTTCCCTTTCCCTATTCCCTTGCTCTTTCTCTCTCTCCTCTCTCGTTTTTCCTTCCCTTTATGTATATATATTCCAGCCCTGATCAATGTTGCTGCACCTCAACGTTGGTGATTAAGTGATAACAAGCTTTTTAAAAGACTTGGATAAGTCAGTAACAAATATTAACGATTTGTTCACTTTTATTAAACATAGCTAAATTAAAATAGAACTTATATACTATATTTTTAATTTTCGCAAATACATGTTTCAAAGATCATTAATTAGTAGAACTAAAATTTATTGATTAAATTCAAATGAGACAAATGCATATTGTATACGAAAGTTAATTTTAACTTTAATTAAATATAGGTCATTTAAACTTTATTATAGCTTTTAATAATTGTAACAACAAGCTAAAATTAAATAATAAATTTTAACTTTTGATTTCAGTTATTAAGTCGGCACTAAAAGGGCTCCTAGTAAAATGCTTTCAAACTTTATAATTGTAATATTACTCCAAGACTTCAATGTAGTTTGTAGGAATTAATTCGATTTTGTCAGGACAAGATTTTTTACGTGTTTATTATATATATATACATTAAAACTACAAATTAGGTTATAGGTATAATTTTATTTATTCATAATTGAAAATTTTATTCAAATGATTAAGTTTAAAAACTTTTAAATTATTTGAATAAAAAAATGGATATTTAGGAATTAAATTAGTAGTTATTAAATCATAAATCACATTCACGTTCAATCGGAATTACGTAACTAGTGACTAGTCGATAATCGAACCGAGTGTTAATATTTGTTTAAATTTTAAAATATGTTTTCATAAATTATTCTGTATATATTTTACTATTAAAATGAAATAAATATGAATGATATTATTTCTTAATGCGATCCCCTTATTGAATTCTTTGTATTTTTTCTTTTCTTGAAATCTTTTAAAGTTTACATGATGACAAGAAATTTTTTCATTATTGCTAATACGGACATTTTACTTTTTAAACGAAAAAAAATTAATTTTATTTAAAAAGCAATTAAAGAATGTACTTGCAAATTTTGCAATTATCAAAGCAATGTAAAAAAATTTTGATTCAATCTATTTCGTGAATTGATCTAAAAAACAAAAATATTAGTTATATTTTCATATTACTAATCGTTAATTCTTGTCAAAATATTAGACTTAATTTTTTAAATAACGCATGACGACTGGTTACATAACGTTTAAGCAAGTCCCTTTTGTTCGTCTAAAAATAATATCGTTAAATGTTTCTGACAATTTTATAATCTTTATTAATTTCAAAAGAATTCAGCAGTTTTTAATTAGTACTGTATTTATTATTTTTTTTTTTTATCATATATCAGCGAGAGAAAGTAAACACAAATTATACATCTTTTATATCGTAATTGTGATTGTGATTTCGATTTATTTTTTATTTTATAATCATAAAAAACTTATAAAATCTTAAAAAAAAATACATAATAAAATCATAGAGAAGAGGGAGATAAAAAAGTAAAATAGAACGCGATCGGGATAAACGAAGAAAGTGAACCGAAAAAAAATTTTAATATATATATACTCTGTACAAACGAAAATTAAAAAAACGCGAACGGGAATAAACGAAAAGAGATGCGAAGGACGAAAAAAATAAAAGTTTGATATATATATACTCTGTAATAAATGATAATTTTAATTATCATTATCATTTATGTATTTTTCAAAATCAAAAAATTCTTCCAATGAGGAGAAAGGATTAGAAGTCTCGGTACTTTTGACGTAATGAGGTTTAGTACTTTTTTCATCAAAGATGAAAATCGGGGGTTTACGATTCTCGGCACTTTCGGTGGGTATCGAGACTACTGGTGGGGTTACTTTCAAAATATGTTCATCGTGAGCATATTTTATAAAATCATTCTTCACCTCGTTAGGTAAAGATTTCCATATCTTACTCGCATTTTTCATACGTTCTTGCGAATTTTGGTTTTTATATTTGCGAGTATAAAATTTTACGAATATTGAGAACCCATTCGCGGGTCTTGAACGATTATTACGACGAATTTTCATAATTGTGAGCCGGCTAAAGAAAAATGATGAGCTAAAAATCTTTGCTGTTTTATATCATTTATTTTCATTGCTGACTTTTATAAAAAAAAAAAAAAAATGTCTTAAAAATTTGAAGCATTGAAAGAAAACTCCATAGAAAAACAAATTCATTAGTATATTGCGTCAATAAGCATTAAAAATTTCATTATATTTCATTATTTTCGAGATGATGCAATTAATTTGATTACAAAAGAAAATAGATCATTAAAGAAATTAAATTTACTAAAGAAACTTTTGTCAAAAGTTCGCGATAAGCAAAAACGCGACAAGGGCGCATTTCATGATCGAAATAACAAGGGTATATGGAAAAAATAAAACTTCGCCAAATGAGAATAATATGTGAAATGTAGTATGATTAATCGGGGATGATTCGATTTTTAAAAAAGAAAAAAAAAAAAAAAGATTTTTGATCAATCTTTTTTACATTTCGATCTAATTTTAGAAGATATAGACTATATTTGTTAATTAGAAGTATTAATTTATAACAATGAAAAAATTTGATGTATTATACAAAAGGTTTTATTTAGAAATTATTTATTTTTTCTTTTCATATTTTTTTAAAGGAATATAGAAATTAATGACTTACACGTTAACGTGTGTAAAAAAATTTGCTAAAATTAGCAGCACAAGTATTGGATTGTGATTGGCTAACATAATAGATCTGCATAAGTAATAGTCAGCTGATTTTCCTTTTTTGTAATTTTTAAATTATGGCACTTTTATTAAAGCAGTAGTAATGAAATTATATGATTAAGGTGGCTAATTTTATAATTTTATTAAAAGTGTTAGTGGAATCTGACGATTATTCCAGGAAAGGAAATACATTTCTTTTTAAATATTTATATTCTTTCCTTCCGTTTAAGGAATAGATATAGATTGATAATCAAACTTGTAGATTGACGTAAATCTTTGTCATAATGATTATGTACAGTATGCATCAAAAAAAAATGCTTTTATTGCTTTTATTACTTTTATTGCAATAACAAAGATCAAAAGAAAATTATTCCAAAAATATTTAAAATAATAATATACTAAACTATTAGTACTCGCAATACGTCACAAAAATCTCTAGTCAATTTATAGTAAAAGACGTTAAACATTCATTTAATATTTGTTAAGAAGGCCCAAGGATGCATTAAAACTCAAATTATTAATAATTTTTTCTAAATCTATCATATCATTTTCATGGGGTTTTTACAGAAATTACGGATAAAAATTTTTAACAATGTATTACGATCAAATATCTAACGCTAACGGGAGTCTTTGGTACCAATTATTTACAAGATTATTGGATTAAGTTCAATGAGGTGAGCTTTCTATTCTTTTATTTTGTCAAAGTTAATGTTTTTTAAATGAAATAGCTAGCGAATTGCGATTTTTTAAAAATAGCTGTAAACGGGAAAAAATAGGAACGACTTTTTAAAACCATAAAATTTGTAGTTATTTCGCGGGAAGCCGTGGCATTGATCATCCCGGCTCCACTTGACTACGAGAGGTGGATATAACTACCATGGAGAAAAAACGTCTTGCGTACAATTTTTAACTACTGACCTTTTAACTTATACTTTTAACTAAACATCATCCATAAAAATATTAAGGATTACTATTAGGAAACATGGTATAACGTTTGGTTATATTATGATGAACCAAACGTAACCATTGTTATACAGTTAGTCCTAGTTATCAATTTTTATTACTTTAATGATATAATACATTATTAATGTGAAGTAGTAATTATGAAAGACCAGTTAAACAAATAACGATCATATGATATCAAAGCTGCACAAATTTCGGAGTCACTTATTTTTTGTTAGATCAAAGTCATCCATTAAGAATTTTCCAACGTTTAAGTCAGTATCACCTAAAAATATTATTACAATAACGTAGAAAAACTGCATGGAATAAATTAAATACCTTTAATTTTACAATTATTAAATACTGTATTTTAACGAAAATTCGCTGTTTGATATTTGAACGCGTTAATTACATTCAAAAAAATATATGAATGACAAAAAATCAACTTTTCTAAGTTATATTACTACGATATATCAGGCCAGTCTAGTTATATTACATGATTTATTTACTGCATACAATAAAAGAAAGTTATCGATGCAACAACTCGTTAAACAATATTAGTGAAAAACATTAATCTTTAGTACTACAACAAATATTAAAGAATGTATCAAACGGATACTTAACTTTCTCTAAATAACGACAATATTAAAAGTTTACCCATCTACCCGTGCAAAAAAAAAAAATAAAAATAAAAATAAAATAACGAAACCCGTTATTGTCAGAATAATAATCCTAAACTATATATCAGATTTTTGGAAGAATCCATATAATATTATATAATAAATTTATTAAAAAAAAATTGTCAGATAAAATTAAAACGATTAAAAAGTCATCGTTAAATAATAAGAATTGTAAAAATTATTACCAAAAAATACTAGCCAATAACCCTGCTGGCGTCGCTACTGGCGTTGCTCCGAGTTGGCGGGTTTAATATTTTTAACTTTCTTATACAGAACGCTTTATTGAATTAAATTGCGTAATAATTTATTCAACAAAACAGTAGCAGATAACCTTTCGCTATACCATAGCCCTGTACCGGATCGCATCCAATCAATTTTGGTGTTCACCTCAAATCGACACGTGACAGCTAATCATATTACTTTCTTTTCCGGTCCGAACGATCCGATCTAGAACTGAACAGGGCTCATACCCTATAAAAAAATTTTCTGGGAAAAATTCCGATAAATGATCATTTTTCTAATTGTATTCCAAGAAAACTCCGACATGTGATCTATTTTCTAAGAAAATTTTTTATAGGGATACCGAAGTGTAGGATTCTTATCTAATACATATAGAAATAAAACAACAATTGCATATGTCTTCCTTATACCCATCCATGATCACCGATAATTTGGTCGACTAAACTTAAATCCTTTTGATAAAATAAACGAAACTGTACGACATAATCTCTAATTGATAATTATATGACCCTATATACTACTAAATAATCTCTCATTGTTATTTTCAATTTCTGTCAACCCTAAATCCAAATTTTCATATTTTCTTTTAATTCTTTCAGTCCTTCATATTTGCCATGACTTTTTCAAAAATATCGTATTCCCTGCCGTTTATAAATCTATTCTATTTAATTCATCGTCTTTTACTGTCATAAATGAGAGTATGCGACTATTATTTACCTTCTTCCTTTATTTTATCTCTATACATTAATAATGTCAACGACCTTATCGGTTTAATATTGTTAATATAAAAGTAGATAATTTATGGACAAACCGCAGCATCAAAATGATCACATGTTTTAAAGCTGCACGTTGATATTATTATTTATTATTATTGAAAATATATGAATAGCGGCAATTCAACTTTAATAAGTCGAAATTTAGGCCATAGGAGTTAGTACACTACGAAACATCAGTATTCATTAAGATAAATTAACATCTACAAATCATTCAGAGTCAGCAAAACTTTTATCATGAATTTTGTTGATATTAGTGATAAATCATAAACAATGAAAACATCAATTCAATCTAATCTTTAGTAGTACAACGGTGATAACGAAGAATGTTCGATCTTTCTCTGACAATGGTAACGAATAATGATAAATTAGTTATAATGATTTAAGTTGGATTATCATTTTACTAAAAAAGGATTTCATTTATATAATTCATTTATTTATATTCGATTATTCGGAAAAACGATTTATTTGAAAAAATAGGTTTGAAACCATACCATTTACTTATTTAATCGTCATTGTAAGTCAAAATATTATGTAGATCCTTAATATTTTCTGATAATTTCAGGCGACATTAAAAAAATCTGGATTCCTGGATGCACAAATGCCGATTTCTTGTTACGTATAACAAGGGGTATTTAAAATTCATAAGTATTACAAGGGCGGATCTTTATTCCGCGCACGAGTGGGCTAGAAAAATTGTAACTTTGCTAGTAATTATTTACTAATAAATTTATAAGCATTACAAGGAAAGGAACAAATTTTATTCCGCGTCAGCTGATTAAAATTATAAATTGTACAAAGAAGGAAAAATTTTAACTCCGTGTCAGCTGATTAAACATGAGAGTATTACAAGAAAGGATCAAAATTTTATCTATTCCGCTCCCATGACGGCTTGTGGAAACGTAAATTCCGTAAAATTATCTTTTTATTTATAGATAATCAATATACTACAAAGGAGGATTATTCAACGCCACGAACAGGTCAAGGAAATCTCGTAAACTTTCTTAAAAATTGTCTTCTATTAAATTTATAAATAATGAAATTGGGTCAAATATTTTATTCCGCGCTCAAGTCTATTGGTTAGCATTTCTACAATTCAGATATTTATTTCGCGTCAACTGATTAAATATGAAATATTACAAAGTTTTTTTATTTCACGCCCATGATATTTCGCGTCAGCTGATTAAATATAAAGTATTACAGTCAAGGTTATTCCGCGCCCATGATAGGACATGGGAACGTAAACTTCCATAAAAATTGGTTATTGTAAATAGATTAGATGTAGATTTTTGTAATAAAATATCCAAAAAGTAAAGTATCATGGCGGTAATCTTTGAAATAATTACTATTTGTGGAAGTTATCTAATTCAAAATGAATAACCAAAAGTGAAGCTCAAAAGTGCTCACACTAATCTCAAAATAATTAAAGGATTTCTTATAAAAAGGCAACGATTTCACCTTATCATGACCATTAGCTTTTCCAACTGAAATTGCTTATAGTCATACACTTACCTAAAAATCAATCAAAATCATGAAGCAAAATTATATTTTTGTAATCGTTTTATTAGCTACACTTTCATTAATCAATGCTTTTCCGCATCAACTTCAAGAAAGAGACACTACTTTTGTTCCATGCCCTTCAGGATCTCCAAATCCAATCAAAGTAACAGTTAAACCTGATCCTCCACCAGTTACTGGATCCTTCGTTCTAAACGTTTCCGGAACACTAAAGACTGGTGTCATCTCCGCAGGTTCCAAACTTGTTGTTAAAGCTATAGGTGATGATGGTGAACTTTTGGATGATCCTATAGTCTATGATATGTGTGAATCATTGACATGCCCAACTAAGTATTTTGATGTTGTAGCATATCTTAAATCAAAAAACTTGCTTCCAACATTCAGTATCATAGTTCAAGTTTTGAGTGCTTCTGGTAAAACTTTAGGATGTTCTATAGGCACTGTTACTGGCGCTTAACTAATTTTTTTATGGTCTTTCTTTTTTGAATATAATTTTATATAGTCTTAACTGAATCTTACCAAATTTTTAAATTTGAAACAAAGTTCACTTTTAATTATGAATTTAGTTATTACAATTTGTACCATTTTTTTTATTCCTTATATTTTATAGTATTTTATTTATTTATTTTTTGTTGTATCAAAGCAAAAAAAGTTTTTAAATAAATATTATTATTATTATCGCTATTTATATATTATTTAGGATGTCTCCATTAAAGAATTGATAATTTAAAATTAAAGTTTATTAAATATTCATTAAGTAAAAATCATATGAATTTATTTATAATACTGTTCTTATATTACGCAGTCAGTCATTGATGACGGAAAGGAAGAAGTATTTTTTTTCTCATCATATAATTCAATTAATATATTTATTTAGGTCGATTATTGAATAATTAAATCAAAAATCGTAATTTATTTTATTTTTTTTTTTTTTTGTCATGACGATGATAAATTTTTTGACTGATATTGAAAAATTTCATGAATGGAACCAATTTAAAATAACCGAGAATATTCTAATACAAAAAGAAAATTTGTTATAAATTACAGATAAAATATTCTGATATCTATTTAAATTTTTGTACCGATTGTCGAAATAAAAGCGCCATAAAAATGTATAGAATTCACAGATTCGACCAATTTTTTAAATCAAATCCCGGAAATATTTCAATTTCGATTTCTTGACGCAAAATTTTGCTGAAAATATATTGCGTTACGTATATAATCACAATCACATGACTTAGTCCCTATAAAAAATGTTTATCCATGATTTCTCCGGGACTTTCGTAAAAATTCCGTGAAAATGATACATTCATGGATAATCCGTGAAAATTTCCATGATTTAAAGCTATAAATTGAGTATTATAAGAAACCATTCAATTTATTATTTTTACTAAAAAAGTCATAACTAAGAGAATTCTGTAGAAATGTAGAATTATAATTATCTTTTTTTTTTAATCATGTAATGATAGAGGTTTAAATAAAATATGTGGTTTAATAAAAAAAAATTTAAATGAAAGAAATTATTACGTAGCAATTTAGTTTTATTTTTATTTTTATTATATAGACTCTGGATCCGGGACTACAAGCAACTGCTAGCAGACCGAAATACATAATAACGATACAAAACTAAGCTAATGCGAGTTCGCCCAATCCTCTAGGAAACTGGGGAGGAACCGCCAAGCCTTTTTTCATTCGAATCCTAGGCAAAGCCGGATCAACCCATCGAACCAGACGCAGAAAAAAAAGAAACATTAAATGAAGAAGTAAGAAATCTATATTATAATACTTTGAAATAACGAAAAATATTCTATATATGGTAAAAGTGAATTATAAAAAGATTGTCTATTAATAAAAGTAGTCCAACCACCCATATGTAAATAATTCGACGTTGTAATGATGATCCATCTAGGGAAAAAATGGTCATTAGGTTTTTGTACTCCAAAGTATCGAATACATCATATCGATTCTGCTGATCACGTGTTCTAGTGATGCAACGTTGGACCGTAGATTGTAACGGTTGGGATAATGATGGGATATCAAAGATTGAGAATTCTTGTGAGCATTCTTACGTTTGTTGAGGGTGCGGCGCTTAGCACGGCGCATTTTAGATTTTTTTGTGTGAATTCCTTGACGTTTCTCCCATGCGGTCATGGATTCTGTGTGACGTTTCCTAACGATCGTGTAAAATTGGTTTCGAACCAGCAACATAATATCCATAACGATGGAATTAGTATGTGAAGATTTTCGCGTATGAGGGTGTATTAAATCTATTAAAGATTGAGAAACAATATTGTGAATGATAAGGTAAATAGGATGTGTTACATCCACTATACTAGGTTGTAAAATAGTCGCAGCATCCAAATCTCGTGGTGAGGTAGAGTTGGTGAAAAGGTGTTCATTCTGCCGATAATCGCTGATATATGAGTTGTTTGATTTCGACCAAAATGTCGTTTAAAGGTTGTATAAATTCCGGGAAAAAGCCCAAGTGACAATTTGTATCATCTTTGTGTCCACAAACGGGACATTTGATAGGTAAATCAACCGAAGTGTATAATGAGCGAACATCACCACACGGCAAAATTTTGATTTTGAAAGATGTTTTCTTGGACTTTTCTGAACTACAGCAGTAGGAAGTGGCATTATAATGCATCCAGGATCAGTAGATGAATGATTCGTAAATAATGGTTGTAATTTGAGTTAGTAGTAAAAGAATCAAAAGTAATAGCATCGATAATGTTGTGACAAAATTTTCTAAGGTCACGATCAATAGATCCAATAGAATCCCACAATGGTATCATCGTGGATTTAGAATTGATGATAATAGGTGAAGCATCTAGACCTTTAGTAGCTTCCGCATCAGCAAGGTCATTATAAGTATCACCTGAGTGCGCTTTGACTTTGTGAAAGAGAGGTTAATAGATTTTTTGTTGACAAGATGTTTAATAACTCGCCATATTTGGTGAATTTTCAGAACCTGTCTAATTGAGGTAAGGCAGTCGTTAACACGTCGAAATGTATTAATGCAGTTCATGGAATCTGTGTAAATCGAAACATCTGAGTTGTAAGGGCACGCTAAAACGGCCGTTAGGATAGTAAAACTTTCCGCTTTAGTTGAAGAAGGTGTCAGAATTGTACTTCCATAAAAAGTGTAAAGAGGATTATTGTCAGTTCGGTCTATGTTAATCCATCCAAAACCCATATTAGTGGTTTTATGTGTGTTAAGGTTATTAGACGTTAAGCCAGGCGGGCGTAATGCATCATCTATATAAAAGTTAAGATTCTGTCTACTTGAAAGAAGGTCTGTTAAGGACAAGAGTTTATTAATAGTATTGGAATCACCCAAGAGAAAAGTTTGAATATCTGCTATCGCAGGGTTTGTTTGTATAGAAGTACCGCTGTAGTCGACGTCGATATTAAGAGAAGTCGAAGGGCGATTCGGAGAGTTCATTTTGTAGATATTGAAGGCGCTGGCTCTTAACGTAACCAGTGATTGTTGTAAGAAAATACAGTTTTTCGGTAAAAGTGATATGTTGAGTTTTGTAAGATTTGCCGTGAACGTCAATTTTATATAATTGAAGATCTCTATAATAAGGAATATGTAAATTGCAATCATTACATGGCTTGAGGATTGGGACATAATGTTGTGGTGTATGTTAATTAAGGATATCTTCAGAACTACATGAGGAATAAAGTGTTCTCTGTAAGTAATAGAACAACAATTAATCTCGTTGACTTGTCGATAGTTTTTCCATAGATAACATCGTTATCTGGAAGTGACCAAGAGCTTGTCCATTCATTTTTCGGACGATGGTGTAATTTGTTAACAATTTTCGGATGTATGTATGAAGTAACAATTTAGTGTAATAATAAATAAGGAATAGATCAGGCGCAAGTATGTCACGGGGTTTTCATTTTGATCCGTATTTTATATTTCCATTTTCACGGATATAATATTTCTTAGCTTATAATTTGTTATCTGATAAATTTTAAGTTATCATATCAGTAAATACATAGTATAGCTTTCAACCTTTTATGAATTAATATACTAATTAAATTATTAAAATTTTTGATGTTGATTTTGATTCTTCTATTATACACAGTGAAATTCGATATAACGGAATTTATTAGTAAATTCTCGATAATGGCTATAACGGAACAAATAACGAATCAGTTATATTTAAAAATTATTCGATTTACCGGATCACGTGACGATTCACGGTTTTAAAACCAATAAAATTAGCAGCAAGTATGATGACCTTTTAAAGAAATTTTAGTGGAATACGCAAGCTTTGAAGACTCAGATGAAATTTTTTTGACTAGGAATGTTGAAAATATTGAATATTGAACACTTTATAAGGTTGTAATATAAATAGAATTTCCTAAATAAGATTGTTTGTTTGGAAATATTAATATATGTGAAACCCCTAAAAATAAATCGAAATCTTTTTTTTTACAATTTAATCACGAACTTTTTTATTGAAAATATGTCTAATAGTGAAGTAAGAAAAGCAAAAACAGGGTAGGATAGATGTTTTTTTTAAGTTTTAGTTAATTTCAATGTATAAAATTTCTCAAATAATGTTTTAAATAAAAAAATAATCTAAATTTTCAATGTTCCTCACAAATAAAAACTTGATATAACGGAATTTCATATGATTTATATATAAAATCCGGTATATCGAAATTTTTTGATATATCGGAAGTCTCGATATACCAGATATGTTTACTGGAATGGATGGTTCCGTTATATCGAATTTCACTGTGTATTAAGAAAAAAAAGATTAATATTCGATGGTAGTACAAATTATCAAGTATTCAATAAAAATTTTTTTTTCTCAAAAAAAAAAAGTAATAAACAACAATACTTTTAAATTATCGAACGTTCTCCAATCTTATTACAAATTATTAAAATTTATTCGCGATATTAGACTTAACCATAGTAAAGTTAATAAAATTAATAATATTACACATAATAATAAAATTGGATAGGTTCCATACTAATTAAATTAGTGAGTAGTGATTCAATTTCCATTAATTTTTATAATTATTGTTATGTATCTATATAATTAAAAACAATCTCGCTAAAAAAAAATTCGTTAATATCAAAAAAAAATTTCACTCAAATTTATTAGTCGGAAATAAGAGTATATATTTTCACAATTGAGTCTACAGAGGATGCAGAGTATAATTTACTGGTTAATACTATATAATTATGCTAATTTTATGCAATACTTACAAAACTTTATAGTATAGTAACAAAATATAGTATTTTAATTATTTTATGATTTGCGCAGAGTTTACTTCATCATAATTGAATTTAAATCATCTGAAATTCGACCACTAACATTACAGTATTAATATGCTGATGTGCGTTACACAAAAAAAATTGTAAAAAAAATTTTCAAGTATTTCAAGAACAGTATTTTCGGATATATCCTTGTGTATTTTAATATTTGTATATGATGTGATATTTATCTGAGTATTCATGTATACTCAGCAAAAAATACTGAGTTTTGCAGTTCATAATTTTGCGAAACCAGACCAAAATCACGCTATACTGAACTCAGCTGACAATATACTAAACTCAGCTAGGCAAGTAGACTCAATTGTAAAAGGAATTACCGCGGAAATAATATTGAAAAAAACAATCTAAATAAACAAAAATAGTTCTCAAAAGTTCTCACTAAGTCAAAAAAATTTTCACGCGAATTTATTAGTCAGATCTCACTAAATATCGAAAAAGCCGTAGGACATAGTTCTATAGTGATCCAAACCAAAAAGAATAAACTATATTTTTGGGTTAAAAAAATTAAAAAGTTCCAAAAATTTTGATAAATTCCGATTAAAAAAAAAATCCCCTAAAAAAAAATCCAATAAAAATAAAACAAAAAAAAAGTATAAGAAAAAAATTTGGTGAAGTTAACCAAAAGAAACAATAATAATAAAAAGAGGGATAAAAAAATTAGGTAGTTTCGGTTTTACGGTAAAACTGAAAATAAAAAAAATTATTATTATAGAAATGGTCAGTCATGGTAAGTGGTAACTAAGTATACTTTTTTTTGTTAGTATTAATCTATCAGAATAAAAAAAAATCCATTTAAAATTTTAATTAACCGGAAATGTATTAGTTTAAAGATCGGTTATCGTAGTCAGTTAATTATGATAAATACGCAAGAATATCACATTTTTCAACATTACGCAATTCAAATTATTTATACAGGGTAATCTAAATATGACAATTTTTTAATTTTTTTAATTAGATAAGTTTACTTTTACGAAGTCGATTCAAGTTGGCTCAAGTCAGTTCAAGTCGGTTCAAGTCAGTTTGAGTCTGCCCAGACTGAACCAAGCTGAGAACCGTAAGCCGACACCAAAACTGTGCTTGAGTCGCTGGAGTTTCCTTATCCCTACTTAGTACGTCTCACGCAGCAATGAAAGAAATTTTTTTTTGGCGCAGAATTCTATATCGATTGTATTTGAAATTTAAATTTTGAACTTTTATAAAACTGAACATGCATTTCTTTTTATTTAATTAAAATTTTGATTATTCTGATGCTCGTATTCTTTGGGAAAAATTAAATTCATTTAAATAACTCAATCAGAAATAAATAAAAATTTGAATTAAATAAAACAAGTAATTTGAAACGAGAAGTTTATATACAAGAAAGTTTCATCATATTCTGAAAAAAAAATGCAATAAAAGGTATTTTTATAATATTCTAAAATATTAATGTTAATAGGGTTTTTTATAATTTAAATAATAATAGAACAAGGAGTTATATATAAATGATGAAAAAACTTCATTATAATTATTTATTTATATACTGTAATACCTAATATCATGTAAAATCTTTAATACCGATAAGTATTTATTAAGATTAATATAAATAAATCTTTGTTTCTAGTTGAAGATTCAGGTAATTAGAAAAGGTAATTTTGTTTTGCACAAACATTATTATTTTTTATAGATGGTATTATTAAAAGAATTTAATGAACAAATTAACTCAAAGAATGACAAGTGTAACGATAAAATGAAAATATTTATCATTTATTGTTTTTTATTATAGATGAACATAATAACGCATAATGATTTGAACTTTATTCGGAAGAGAAAGTTAAACTTGCTTATGAGAAGCTGCCAACTACATTTTCTTCTTGATAGTTTTAAAGGAGATCCTGTTTTTCTTCGATCACTTCATTATAAAAATTGATATTTTTTTTTCCAAAGATCTCAAAAAACAACACAGATTTAGAGGTAAATTCCATAATAAAACGAAAAAAGTTATTTAATAGTTAATAAATTAAAAAAAAATAAAATAAAACAGATAAAAATAAAAAATAAGAAATTTTAAACTATCGCGTACAATGTAGCATGAAGAATCACCAAATTACTATAGAAAAATAACTATAAAATAAGAATATATTAAAAATTAATAAATATAATAAAATAAGTTTTGCTCTTTTATAGAAACTAATTTTTTTTTTTAAAAAAAAAGAAAAGGCCACTTACGATAGTAAATACAGTTTTTTTTGCATTTTGCGCAAAATCTGACTGAATAACCATTATTATAAGCTTAGAAAAACTTTTTCTTCTCATAATTTTACATATATTACTACTGTTAAAACTATAAATTTCTTCCTATCTCAACTTAGATATTGAAAAAAAGCTAGTTTTTAAAGCGATTTCAGTTTTCAGTACTTGTGAAAAAAATTTTTTATTTAACAAAAATGTGCAAAATGTTCCGATTAATGTTGCACAAAATTGGTTAATATGAAAATGATCTGCGTGTGACATTTCCGGTGACTGATATAAAAAAATTTTTAGTCGACATTATCTCTTTCCTATATGATGATGTTTTTAAAGAACAAAACGTAAATTTATAATGAAATAGTGCAATTTTTGTAATGTCCAAGAAAAATATCGAGAAAAAATATATAACTACTGATAAAACTTAATAAATTTACAATCGTTTTTAATAAATCTCGATATAGTGGTTGATCTGCCAATTCTGCCATGGCGTAATATTTTGTTACACCTAACCGCTAATTTAATCAAATGCCGATCACGAAAATGAACCTTCTTTTCTACAAATTTCTTAGTTTATAAAAAGATAATATAAAATTGCATTATGTCTAATATTCGAAAAGAAGTAGTTAATGCAGCACTTAATAGAACATTTGCATTATTAGATACTACTATTCATAATAATATACATAAACATTTTGAATTTCGAAAACAAACACTTCTTGCTGATAAATCTCTTACAGAAGATGAAAAAACTGAGGCAATAAAAAAAATAACTGAAACTTATGATAGAACTAAAATTCTTCATAATTCAGGAACAAAAAGAATTTGTGAGAATTGTAATCAAGAATGTTTGGCTACATTATTTTGTGAATATTGTGTTCGAAATTATTTAAAAGCAAATTTTTCAAATTGGACGTCTGGAAATGATAATATTGATAACTTAATACAAAAATGTCAATCAGAAACACTCTTTACGAATAAGATAATTGAATGGATACCATATAATAATTTACAAAATATTAGTTACCTAACAGAAGGTGGATTCTCTAAAGTTTATACAGCAAATTGGATTGATGGAAGATATAAAGTATGGAATTCTAAAGAACAGGAATTAGAAAGATCTGATCGTAATTTAAATGTAATACTTAAAAGATTAGAAAATATTAATGCAAATCAAAGTTGGTTTGAAGAGGTTTGTATTTCAAAAATGTATAATTAGAAGTTCTTAATATAAAAATTTTTTAATAAATTGTTTTTTTTTTATAGGCTAAATCACACTTAACTGTAAGTAGTAAATGGCCACGTGTTGTTGACTGTTATGGTTTAACACAAGATCCGTCAAATGGAAATTTCATGCTTGTATTAAATAAAATGGATGTAAATTTAAGAGAATATTTACAACAAAATCATAATCAACTTACATGGAAAGAAAGGATTCAAATTACAACTGATATAATTTATGCACTTGGTGATATTCATGAGGAGAATGCAATTCATAGAGATTTGCATTCTGGAAATATATTATATAAAAAAAGAAATCAGGATTGGTATATTAGTGATTTTGGATTTTGTGGCCCTGCAGACAAACCATTAAAAAGTATATATGGAAATCTTCCTTATATAGCACCTGAGGTTATTGCTGGAAAACAGGCTACAAAAGCATCTGATATTTATAGTTTTGCTATGCTTATGTGGGAAATTTCATCTGGACAACCACCATTTCTTAATTGCAAACATGATTGTGATCTTATATTGAATATTATTAATGGAATAAGACCAAGAATAGTATCAGGAACCCCTTTAGAATACGAAAGTTTAATGAAACAATGTTGGGATGCTGATCCATTAAAAAGACCTGACGCTTATACACTGTATAAAAAAATGGATGAAATTAATTTATATTATCAGAAAAAATCAGATGAACCAACTCAATTGGAAATAAATAAAAATTTTGAAATAAATAAAACAAGTAGTTTTAAAACAAACTACGCTAATAGCAGATTATATGCAAGTAAAGTTCATCAATTTGAATTTTTTTCTGAACCGAAAAATGCAACAGAAGGTATTAATCATATACTTATCATTATTTATGAAATTAAAAATATATTAATATTGTAAAATTTATATTTTTTCAAAATTTTCAATTATAATAATAGAAGAACAAGAAGGTATGAATGAACAATTTTTATTTGTAAGTTATTCACTTATAATATCTAATAATTTTAGTTCTTTGTAGCATTTTATAGTAAATCATATGATGAGTTTCAAATTCCTGATAATAGTAAGTGTCCATTATGATATAATATTCATTAATCATTTTACTAATTGAATTTTGCTTTATAGTTGATGATTTTAATAATTCAAGTTATTGGAAAAATAATAGTACATCAAAAATGAGTAGTATTTTTAAAGGTACTAATTTTACTAATATTAGATCTTTAAAATTACAAATAAGTATTAATTTATGCCTTGAACTTTTATAGCTAATAGTAAAGATGCTCAAATTGATAATAAAATTGAAACTATGCAACAACAGATTAAGAATATCAATCTCGAAGGTATTTGCATATTAAATCATATCAATTCAATAATATCATAATTTCTAATTTATTTATCTTACAGACGAAAATGAAATACATAATAATCCAAATCTTCATTCAGAAGAACAAGTTAAATCGGAAATTCCTGATATTATTTAATTTTTTAAATTTTACATGATGTTAAATTACTAAATTTTTATAGATTTTAGTTTCTTTGAATTTATTTTATATTTTTATAATTTTTTCTGAATAGTTTAAACACTGAGATTAGAGTAGTAAGATAAAATTCTTAGCAATGTTTCTTAGTTTGTAATTTAAATTATTCATTCAATTTAGTTATCATATAAATTAACTTTAAATAAATTTTCTTTATGCAATACTTATAAAATTCAAAATTAAAGTCAATTCGGTAGTCTACTATATAATATGTTCTTTTAACATAAATATAAATTGTTTGATGAAATTGACTAAACTGTTTCAATGTCTAAAATTTATGATTCACAACGATATGTACTAATATAAATTTTTACAATGAGCCCTTAAATTTATTATATAATAAGCCTTTTCATATTGCAAACTTAAAATACAGAATATTAATTGCTCTTTACAAACGCCTGGAAAATGGCGTTTCTTTTATATTTTATGTTAAAGGGTTGATCATCTATTTGACATGCGTTTATTATATTTTTTCTAAAAATTTTAAAACGAGTAATGCATTTTAATAATGCTACTCTCAACATCAAAATTTTTTTTTTTTTTAAAAAAAAAAGCCATAAAGTATTAAGCATGAGCGAGATCAATCTTGAAAATGGAATTATTTAATATTTACCAGACAAATTAATTTTTTTTTCTATATTTCATGATATTATTTATAATAATGGACATTAATTTAATCATAATTCACTACAGTACTACAATTGCATGTCGTTATTTTTTTTTGACTGCAGTCTCAAATGACCTAAGTTAAATTTTTTTTAAAAAAATATCTTTAAATTTTGATAATATAGTATCATAATATTACTTTTACCTTACGGAGATAAAATAAATAATACAACTATCATAAACAAAGAAAGAAATATATATATTATATCTTTAACTAAATTACAAAATTTATCGATTTTGAAAGTATCGAATGCAAAAACTATAAAGTTATTGTACGCATAAATCTTAGTTGTTAAAGTAATTAATAATGTATGAAATGAATTGTGACATACAACATCAAATTACATATGGAAACAAAGATTTTTAGACCGAATTGGTGAATATATAATTATTAAACTAAAAAAAACGGCTGAAATTGAAATTCATTTACTAGTTGTCCCCTACGAAAAATGCCTAAAGTTTAATATTTAGTATATTTAGTGAGAATAGCTAATTTATAATATAAAAAATTAGTCATAAATATCGCTACTCTAACAAGTATGTATAATGTGTAATAATAAAAATAAAATCATGTTACAGTTCATCCTCGATATAGAATCCCCTCGGGCTGGAGATTAAAATTCATTATACACAGTGAAATTCGATAAACCGGATCTTCGATAAACCGGATTTGGGCCTAAACCGGACTTTTTTGCTGGAACCAAATCACGTATATTAAAATAGGTTCGATATATCAGTGTTTACTAGTAAAAGCTCGATATTCGCTATAACGGATCAATTTTCTAATCAGCTATAGTAAAAATGATTTGATAAACCAGATCACGTGACTGGGAACCAATAAAATTTAAGTAACGTGATGTGGTAAATCTTAAATTTGGCCGGAATTATAAAAATCTTAATTCCGGCTGAAGTTATGTATTACTTATATATTCAATTAAAATATTTTATATTCATTTTCATGACCTCTATGACTTAAAACTAGATGAAAAAATCAAATTATAGTGTATATTAGTTTTATTAGCATGAAAATTTTTTAAAAATTCAATATAATAGATTTTCAATATATCAAAATTTTTTCGCTAAACCGGATATCCCGATAAACCGGATATTTTTAGTGGAACCGATAGATCCGGTTTATCGAATTTCACTGTGTACTAGTGAGGAATTCACTATAGAAAATAGCGAATAAAGATAAAATTTTCACTATATCAAAATTTATTATAATCACGCGACTTACGTATATTTTCTTTATTTTTTATTGACTAAAAAATAGTAGGACAAATTGATATAGCAAAAAACCTGACATTCTTCTTTGTAATCATAAAAGCATAACTCAGAATTTTACATTGTAAAAATTTTGCGTATAACAAATATCATGTGATAAAAATTTATTAATGATCTGTGTAACTCCTTAAAAATTCGCTATAGTGAAAATCTTCATTATAGCTAGGGTCATTTTATTATATTTGTTCTGACATTTAAATTCGAATTACAAAGTACAGAGGTTTTAATATAAAAATTCACTATATCAAAAATTATTGATTATAAAAAAATGTGTACTGGAGCTTTTCTTCATTATAGAAAGTTATTCACTATACAAAAATTCGTTATAGTAAGGGTGAACTGTATACTATAGTACTGCAGCGTCAATCTGATAACCTAATCCCAATCCTAATTTCTTTATACACCAATAAATATTGCAAAAGAATATACTTGACAAAAAAATTTTTTTTTATTTTTTATAATAAAATAAAGAAAATTCATGTTTTTCTTGATTTTTGAGCAAATTAGCTGCTACACCCTTGCTTTTATAAATAAACAAATAATATAAACCTAAAAATTTATTTTCATCAAAATTAAAAAAAAAATGCTATTTATATATTTATTTAGTTTCAATACAAAAAAAATTAACTATGGGGACATACGGCACGGCATAATGCTAGTTACCACATTAATGTAACACACCATGCATTTTTGTGCGGGTGCACAGGAAAAAAAACTAAAATAATCTTTAAATTATAATTATATAAAAAGATTTATGTTTGCTTTCACATTTTATACTTTTATTCTTCTGTTTTAAAAACTTTTTATAATGGTTAAAGAAATTTTTGTTTGTAAATAAATATTTCGCGTATGTTTTTTAGTCTATATGAAGCTTTATAAGGAATTGAGGATTTTTTTCTATTTTAATAAAAGAAGCAATAAAAAAATTTTTTAACATTGAACAGAACTTGTATACACATATGATTAGTAATTTTTACAGTCACTTTCAAAATAAACAAACAAAATTAATTTTATAAACGAAAACAAATTTTTATAAATAAAAAATTTTCCGTGCCTTTTCCCTATAAAAAAAGAAAATTCGGAATTTGTCCTGAAAAGTATGGAAAATGTCCGGAAATTTTCCGTGCGTCCGGAAAACATTCGGAAACGGTCACGTTTTGGAACATTTTCCGGACGCACAAATTCCAGACATTTTCTTGACACTCCAGAATTTGTCCGGAATTTGTCCAGAATCGAGCGTCCGGAAAATGTTCCAAAACGTGACCGTTTCCGAATGTTTTCCGGACGCACGGAAAATTTCCGGACATTTTCCATACTTTTCAGGACAAATTCCGAATTTTCTTTTTTTATAGGGTTTATATAAGGGGAGTAACGTAAATTGACCTAAAATAGTAATTTTACGTTACTTACTTAGCCAATTTCCGTTACTTACTTTCTATATATTCCTTTTTCGGCACTTTTTCTTTTTTGTAGTGTTGTCCAATACCATAGCTTGGTTCACCTGGTGGGGTGTACGTAGGACAAATAGGCTCTTCATCTCTTTTTTCAATGGTTCTTGTAGAAATATAATCTCTTTTTCAATAGTTCTTGTAGGAGCTGCTTGGGAAATAACGACAAGTGACAAGAGGATTGCGAGAAGCAAATATAATTTCATGATTTCATTTCTTAAAAGAGAAGGAAGTATTTTATGGTATAGGATTTTGAAAGTTGTTCAAGTAAAAAGATTGAAAGTTTTATATAGATTAATGTATTTATTCTTTTATTTTTTTGATAAAATATTTAGAATGAAGCTGGAAATGCGGTAAAAATCCGAGAATATTTATATTGTTGAATTGAGTGATCTAATGATCATTGAGCATTTTTTTCTATTGCCATAATCAGATATTTCCAATAATTAGTTTTATTGTATATGTCATATGTAAGCACTGGACATTTTTCACGTAATATTCTACTTCAGAATTGGCCGATTGCCATTTTGATCACAAAAACTAAAACCAATTAAAATTTGCGATTAAAGTAGTTCGACGATTAATTGACCGTCGATTCAAAATGACCTACGTTCACGTTAATCACGTTAATCGGTTAGTTGATCATTAGATCATTATACAGTTAAAAATTTATTGGTCAAAATTTTTAGTATAACCGATCAAAAATCACGATCAATCAATACTGAAGTAGACTAGTGATACGACCACTTTATATAATCAATAAGATACATGCAGTTGCTTACGTCAGACATCTCCAATAATAATTACTTATTTGATTAATTCGATTTTGCCATATGATTATTAATTATTGTTGAAATTTTCTTTTTGAATTTCGCCGTCAGGAATTTTGACTTTTATGGATAATTTAAGGATTGCATCGGTCTTTATAGAAAAAAAATACCCCGAAATTCTTGTATTTGATTAATTTGCTGTCTTTTAACTTCACTTTTATCACATCTAGTATATGGTATGCCTGAATCATCTTGAATATTTTTAATCTTTAATAATTTTTTGTCATGTCTTTTTTCACTAAAAAAAATTAAATTAGTAGTTACAAAAATAAAAAATAATATAATAAATAATATAAATAGTTAAATATATTACCATAAAATAGCTGACATTAAGTTTAATTGTTTTCCTTCTCTATTAATTAAAGCGTGGGCTGATTCTGCTATATTGGTATAATTTCCATATTTTCCCCAAATGTGACGCTCCATTTTGGACATATTAATATTTAAAGAAGAAATAATCCGAGTCTTATAATATTTTGCCCAATCTAGATAATATGAAAACAACAAATAGTTTTTTAAAAAAATGGTTAGTTTTAAAATTATTTTTAGTTTATTTTACCTTTAGCACCTGATGACTTGAATCTGTCCAATCTGCAACATGAAATATAGTGGCAACACCTTCTGGTGAAGTTTCCCAAACAAGGGTATGTCTTTACACGCCCGTTGATGGATACTCTATAGGCACATTAGAATGATGATGTTTTTTATATGAAAACGAGATATAAAACTAGCGATTTCTGAGACTTCTTCATCTTTATCATTATTTAATTCTTCTCTTAGGTTCAATTTCAGATAATTCCTAATAATAAATTAACTTTAGTATAAACTATAAAACCAAGGAATATAAATCATAATAATTATACAAACCTGTTCAAATTCAGGATTTAATAATTCAATTGGAAAGTCCTCAAAAT